TCCTTTGACAAAAAGAGCAGTCTTATTTTCGATGTCACGATTCTGCAATATTCTTCTAGGGAGGATTTGACAGCCTCTTTGGATATGCAGGCTACAATGCTCTTTACTATTTGAGGGGCTCTTCCTGTCCATGGCTTCTTATATATCTCCAGCAGCTTATCGTACCTATTTTCAGCTGTGTATTGGAAAATCGCAGCTTGCACCATATCTCTCAGTGAAAGTCTGCTTTGTTTTGGAAGTTTGCAGTTCAGTATTTCTGAGACAGCACCAACTTCATTGCTTTTGAGCAGAACAAGGACATCCTGCGCACTGTACACTGATCTGTCTATTGCCAGTGCTGCAATTTGCTGCTGAACTGATCTTTTCAGCTTTTTTGTCAAGCCTTTTGCAAAGATAAACAGTCCAGGAGTTTTTTTTACATTTTCTATTTTCATTTTTATATCACTGGGTGTGTGTGCCTTATATGCCTCCTTTACTTCTTGTATGTGCACCTCAGCTGCGCTTGTGTACACTCTCAATATCTCTCTTTCCACTCTTTTTTCTTCTTTGATGCGTGTCAAAAGAAACAGCTGAATGCGCAGTGCTCTGCATGTCTGCTCTTCTTTTTCGCCCTGCATAGAATCTCTTACCATCTGGACCAAAGTTCTAATTTCTTCGTCTTTTTTGATCTTTGTGAGCTGCAGGACAGATCGAGTGACTGTTTTGTGCAGAGAAAGTGAAGTTAGTTTTTTTATTCTTCCCTGCTGGATGTTCAGCGCAGAGAGGACGCACTGGAAGGATCTCTCTGTCTTTAGCCACCGCGTGTAGCACTCTGCAACCGGCAGCACACTTTCCAATATGGATTTTTTGATCAATGAACATATCCTGCGAAGAGCCTGCTTCTTTTCTTTTTCGGGAATCTCTTCCACGGCTTTATACAGCTCCATTCTGTTGTACGCCTCTCCTTCTATCTCTTTTCTAACGTACTCCAGTACTGTCTCGTGAAGTGCCATTTATTTTGGAAGAGTGCAAAAAAATATTATGTCCATTGGCTGGGAAACCAACAAGCAGTCTGGCCTGAACAGAATGAAAATAAACATGGAGGGAGAGCTCACAGACTTTAACTTCTGGGAGGGAGTGCACAGCCTAGGCAGCCAGCTGAGCAGTGAAATAGCTCTAGATCCAAAAGAGGGACAGGCTGTGAACACGTTTAAAGTCATGTCTGTTACAAAAACCGCAAGGTACGATAAAATAACGGGAAAGAACAATGAAACAGTGTACATCTACGGAGACTGGAGACAGGGATCTCCGAAAATAGGAAACACTGTGAGCATTGTCCCGTGCCTGTGCTGTCCAGAGGCAATTGATGCAGGCGATCTGAACATCATCACAAACGAGTCCAACTATCTAATTATTCACTCAAAAAAATCACTGGTAGCAACGAACATAATACAGTCACTGGAGTGCGTGCGCAAGGCAATGCTCATGGAAAGCATCGAGCAGCTGAACAGACCAGTGACAAAGCCCCTTGTGCACGGAATAATAATCCACGAGTGGCTGGAGTTCCTGATAAAGAACAGAGGAACACCGATACCTGCTGTAGCAATGGAGCTGAAGAGAATTATTTGCAAATACACGCTGCAGCTGTACAAGATAGGAGAAAAAATTGATAAAATATTTTCCGAAATATTTAGACACTTTGGGACTCTCAAGGGGTTTATCAGCACGCTCGAATACACAGAGTCAAAAGAAAGCAAAACCGTGCACAGCCAGCTTCTCCAGCTGAAAGGAAAGCCAGACATTATTATATCCAGCAGCAAAGGAGAGACTGAGATAGAGCTGAAAACAGGACAGAACCTGCACATTGACAATATAGCACAGGTTATTCTCTACGGTCTTTTGCAGAAAGAGCAGAAGGGATATAGCTCGCAGCGTCTGTACCATCTGAAGAGTAACGCGTGCCAAGAGATTAAGCTCAAACACTCCGAAGTAATACACATTCTGTGCCACAGAAACAGAATGGTGAGAGAAACGAAGATGCCTCCCCGCAAAGTCATACCGCACTGTGCCATATGCAATTTAAGCGAGATATGCAGTAATATTTCGAAAATAGAAGACTCTGCCAGAGACTTTCCCATTCCGCAGTCAGTGGGATCACAGAAAACTCCGATCAGCGGGATGGACATGCTGAAGATAATGGACTTTAGCAACATATACCTGTTCGGATACCTGTGGGAGCAGATACAGGAGGAAGAGAACAGGGCAAAGGAAACAGCAGTGCAGGCCTCTGTAGATATATGGGACAATAACCACCTGAAAATAACTTTAAGCGAAGAAAAGACTAAGAGCTTTTTTTGCGGTGAGTTTGTAATGGTCTACGACATGGATATGTGCTCATTTGGAAGAGGAGTTATTTCAGTTGTCAATCAAGAAACAATTGAGATACACATGCACGAAAGACTGCTTTACGATCACAAGGGCCTTATATACATATCAAAAGACCCGTCTTTAAAAATGTTTGCTGAGCTAAGATCTTCTCTTCTTTATCTATTTTCCACCGAAAAAATCAAAAAAATGTGGCTGGAAATACCTGATAAGTCTGTCCCTCCGCACATTCCCTCTGAGTTTATCGAGGAGTTTCAGGATCTCAACAAAGATCAGAAGTCAGCACTGTACAACGCTGTGCACCCTGCGCCGTACGCACTCATTCATGGAATGCCTGGGACGGGAAAAACCAAAGTGATTTCTCTGCTGTCAAAGATAGTTGCAAGCCAGAAAAAGAAAGTGCTTATTTGCTGTTTTACACACCTGTCGCTATCTAACATAGAAAAAAGACTAGAGGGCTGTGCTGCGCTGAAGATATACAGAACAGGAAGAACTAAGGTAGAAGATATTGCAAAGTCTCCGGAAGAAATAGGAGAGCTCTTTGACTCATACAACATTATTCTTTCCACAACAAGATCGTTTTTCAAAGACCCTATTTTCGACAACAGAACATTTGATATGTACATAGCAGACGAGGCAACACAGCAAAACTTTCTTTTTTCAGTCATTCCCACCATGTTTTCATCTTCATTTGTGCTTGTAGGCGACCATTTGCAGCTGCATCCTCTGGCAAAAACACCTGCGCTTGGAATCAGTCTCTTCGAGCTTCTGAGAACAAGACACTCTGTCAGCGCGCTGACAATGCAGTACAGAATGCCACAGTGCATCATGGATGTGGCTAATGCTATGTTTTACAATGGGCAAATGAAGTGCGAACAAAAAGAGAAGGGAAGCATATCGTTCATCAATGCCACTGCAGAAGATGCTGAGCACATTGTGAGAAGCCAAAAGAGAACAACCCAGATACTGTGCTACTTCAATGAACAGGCTAGGAACGTGCGAATGCTGGGAAAAGAGGCAGAAACAGTTGATAAGTTCCAAGGGAGTGAGTGCAGAGACATTCTTCTTATTGTAGACTTGCTGCTGGCAGGGCCACCAAAACTGGAAATACTTACATCGCCAGAGAGACTGAATGTAGGCCTCACACGAGCCAAAGCATCCCTGAAAATACTGGGGAATGCAGAGTTTTTGAAGAAGTTTCCACTGTTTGAGCAGCTCTTCGAATATTTGCCTTATGAGGAGTATGTGAGCTAGCAGAAATAGATCACTCCTATCACCATTCTACACATTTTCCTATTTAGGCTATTCGAACTGCTCAGAG